CAGTCTTACATCAAATGCTTGTATTTAAACCTCCCCCGCCGGGCTGAGAAGTCATGTCATCTGTTTATAAACAGCGGAGAACAGTTTTGAAATGTTCCCATTGTGGGAACGGCGCACAGTCTGTGACAGAAGCTCCCGCGAGCTTTGTTCTCTTCAGTCTCTTTCGTTACCGCCAATAGTTTACTACGCGGATGCGTTTTTCAGCCAGTTACTAGCACCACTGAGTTTTTCTAAAACACCCCCTAGTGTTTCTTTATAAATATCCGTAAATGTTGCCAGAATAGAGGAAACTTGGTACTTCACCAACATGCCCGTAACAAACAGAAGTTAGGGGTCATCAGAAACGTACCAGGTGCTATAAAAAGTGACCCAAACTGCCCTCTGGAGTGATACTGTCACCTGGTGCTTTAAAAACAAAAGACCCCAAACCCCATCAGCCCATGAGTAAAACTGGTTGACAGCTCGGGTTAACACACTCATGGGCTGAGTCCTCAATTTCATCAGGAGCTCTGTTTTTCCCATACACGTGTGCCTTTCGAAAGTCAAAGTAAGTAATTTTTTGTGTGATTCAGCAAGTCAGATTTAATGTCTACTCTTTGAACGCCAAAGGAACTGTGATATATCCGAGTTCCGAGTTTTTGTTTTTCTCTTAGGAAACCTTAGTAGTCATCTAGTTCAAACTTCCAATGAAAGCGTCACCTCCTTGAACCTGTGTGATAAGAACAGAGTCTGCTCAGATATTAAAGAGCTCCAGGTTAAATGTTGCTTTGTCCTGAGCTCATAACTGCTTCCTCATAACTCCTTCCTGATGGTTCCCATTTTGTCCTCTAAAGCAGTCAGCCTTGATATCTTTATTCTTTGACATAATTACCCACAAAATATTTGAAGTTAACTATTTTGGTGACTGTTAATTAATCACATTTGGCTTTCCAGTTGAGTAGAAGCAAAAAACGAGAGAGAGAGAGATACCACTTATCAATAAAGGGAAAGAGAATATAAACCCTCTGGTTGGTTAGCAGGTATTTAAATAGCTTTTATTTTAGAATACATACAAATTTTGAAAATACCAGATTCACAAATTCATAGAGTTGAAACAATCTTTAGAGGTCAGGCGGAACAGGTTTCCACTCATTGCTAGAATTTCTCTGTCGTCTGACTGATGGAAGATGCTCCAGGCTCTGGATTGGAATCTCAACCACACAGGGTGATCCATTCCAGGTCTGGAACAAACTCATATTGCCAGGGAATCCCCCTTCCATGCCTTTCTATAACTTTCATATCAAAGATCCAAGTTCTGCTTTCTGGGGCAGATAAAAGCAATTCTCTGCCCTCCGGAACAGGGCAGTTTTTGATCATTCATAGCAGCTATGGTGATGACTGGTTTTCATAAAATTTTGATAATCCAAACAGGAAGAATCAATATCTGGCTATTAATACCATTAAGGTAGAATTATACATCTTATATGACTCTATATACAGAATTCTGCTTATAATTAAAACTTTTTTTGAAATGAGATAACTGAACAGGGTGAGATTGTCTAAGATCATGAAGCTGATTGCTAGTGGAGCTGAGCCTGGCACCTCACTCACCTGGCACAGTCTGTTCGTATCACTGTGCCTTCTGATAAAAGTTAACTTGAAATGCTTGTTTTCAATCAACAATTGCAATGCACTCGTCTTCTAATCTCTGGAAACTGGCAGAGTTTAGAGCAAAACAAAACAAATACGTCACGCTGTGAAATCTCAGGAGTAAGAAGGTGTTGTCAAAGAGCCACTGCTGAAGGACACTGAGGTCCAGTTCTGGCTTCTCCATTAACCAGGAGTATAGCTTCTGTCACATGGCCTTTTTGGTCCTTAGTTACCTTATGTAGGTTTTGTTTGTGTGCTGGATTCTGGGATGATACCCACACGCTGTACGAAAAAGTGCTACGAATGTGGAAGGGGACAGTGTTTCCATACATGAACACTTTTCTGCATTAGATGATATAAATTGTAACTTTCCCACAAGCTCTAAAATCTGTGCATGCATCCTCTCATATTCAGATCTCATATACTTCTTGAATATGGAGACAGTGAACACTACACCTCCCCAATTATTCTCCAGACTTATCTGCACTCTCAAGAGAGATTTATTTATGAAAGAAAACTCAAAGGGAAGCTAGGTTGTAAACACCAACTCTAGAATAAAGCGCTAACCTACAACAGACTTTAAAATGCACTCCATAATAATTCAGCTGAAATCAGTCCTTGTCTGGGTTATTAATTTCAATGTAAGAAAATTTGAAAGTGAAACTTCATTAATAATATTAAGTAACTATTGCTAGTTTTCACTAAATAATTATGGACCATAGAGTTGAATAGGCTTTTACTGCTTCCAAAGTTTTATTGTGAAAATCTTCAAGCACATCTATGTGCTTGATTCAATACATCTGTGATATATTGGCAATATATCACAATGAATACTGTATTATATTCCTCTATTTTTAATCTACCCCTAAAACATAAACTTTTTTTGTTCACCTTCATCTATGAGAGATACTTGTGCTGTGTTTAAAATCCTGAGTTGACCTTCTGTTTTCTTTTCAGCACTTGAATGCTATCACTCTGTCCTGCACGGCTTCAGACAGTTTGATATCAGTCTCATATTTTTCCTTTGAATGCAGTGTGTCTCTTATGTCCACTCCACCCCCAATCCCCACACCTTCAATATTTTTTATTTATTTTTTGAACAGTTTGAATATGGTGTATCATGGTGTGCATCTGCTCGTGTGTGTATTTTGTGAAGGTATTTATTCTGCCTGTGCAGAAGGCTAGACAGAAGCATATAGAGTTTATGCCAGGAAATGCACATGCTTCATTTGCTAGGACATCAGTGCACGAATTTGAGGCAATATTGCCAGGAACTGAGCTAGGTTTGAGTTTCGCTGTTGCTGCAGTCAGTTTCAGCCTACCATACTCCTCTGCTTAGAGTGGTGTTATGGGCCACAGGTCTTTGTGCCCCCCAAATTCACACAATGAAATCTTGACCCACAAGGTGATGCTTTTTGGAGGTGGAGCCTTTGGGAGGCAATAGAGTCAGGAGGGGGTGGCTCTCATGAATGGGATTAGTGTCCTTATGAGGACAGACCAGAGAGATAGCTTGCTCTCTTCCTGCTAAGTGAGGATACAAAGAGAGGTCAGCAGTCTGCAGCAAGAAAGAGGGCTCTCGCTGGACCCTGACCCTGACACCCTGATCTTAGACTTTGTAACCTCCAAAACAAAGAGAATTAAACTTCTGTTGTATATCTGATGCTTTGTTATAGCAGCCTGAAGTAAGACAGGTAGGAAAGAGGGGCCAGTCTCAGAATTCTTGCTCCACCCACAGCCTCCGGCTTCCCTGTGCACCTGTGCCTCAGAGGGGTTTCTATCCGTGCGTTCATCACTCCTGCAGTGGTCATCAGCTTCTGCTCCTTCCTGGGCGTTTGTCAGCCTGGTGATGTGAGACCAGAAAATTGTCTGTTGTCCCTGTCTAGGGTCACACCTAGTACGCCTGTGTCTGGGCATAAGGGATGTAGCTTCTCAAAGGTCCAAACCTTCCTTCTTATGGCAGTAAAACTGTGCAGGTCATGGGCAGAAGAGCGTTTCCTGACCTTCCCTCCGTGGTAGGAAGCCTTTAATGATACTGGCATACACTCTGGGCCCAGGGCTTGTTCCTCTTCTCCCACTCGGCTGACGTGTTCTGTTCCTTGGAGGAGAGGTGCCTGGGTAGGACTTTGCGCCTCCCCGCCAGAACCAGCCTCTTGAGCAGTGGTGGGGTCTACGGAAAAGAGCTTACAAGTGAGTGGACACCCCCCTCCTGTCTGTGTCCCGGGGGTCCTAGCTTCTCACACTAGCTCACACTCAGCCTTTAGAAGTCTGTTTAAGACGTTTGTTCTGAAATCGCCTTATTCTCTTGTCTGGTGCCCGTGTGTCTCACCTGCACTCAGCCGCAGGTGAGCTGATGCTTTTTGCAGGAACCTGCTTTCCTTTGAAGTATAGGGTCCTTGGTTTCTCACCTCTCCGATGGGGTCATAAAAAGTTCTGATTCTATAGCTATGTGACTTTTGTCTTTTTTTTTTTTTTTTTTTGCTTCTGGTGTAAGACAGATGTGAAACTGTGCTACACACATTTGACATTTCAGACTGTCATTATATTAAAAGAGCCATTGTTTGCTTGCTTTAATGTGGTTATAAGATCATATGTATCCTTTTAATATTTCCCAATTCTAGATATTTTGATCTCTTTCTCATCATTTGGCTCTAAAAATAGATTTAGAAAATTTTAATTAGATTATGGAAATAGAATAATGATGTACAATGACATTTGGTAAATACTTTCCGGAATTTGAAACTAAAATATTTCCTATTAGAAACATGACCATAATAAAGGAAAGGGATTTGTATTTTCCACAGATGTCACTTTAAAGCTATTATTAGATACAAGGTCTTTTAATGAAGTATCATGAATATTACTAGTCTTTTATCCAGAACTGAAATCAGATCTCTGAAGATGCTAATTGTTTACAAAAGCACAACAAAGTACTTTGCTTAATGGTATTGAACCAGTGACATGAACTAGATATGCTGTTTTTTCATAAATCTCTGAGTCATTTTGACTTTGGAGGAAAAATGTCTTAAAGTATCTGTTTACAAATCAATGTTATGATATTTTTCGTGTGAAAAATATATAGGTATAGAGGGATTACAGTTTGATTCAAAATTGCACATTCTTATGAATTTATCAAATGGAGAGAAGAAAGTGAATTGGCCTCAAGATAATTCTCTACAAATTAACTAAGTGTTCTGAAAGTTTTAAAATCTGACTGGGACTCAGTTATTACTACCTATTAAAAATAGATACTGCATTTAGTGTAACTATATAGTTTCTCACAGCTCCAAGATTCTCTAATTCCTAATTGTATATCTCTGTTTTTAGTGATTTGATTGAAAATCACCCTTATATGAATCTTTCTATAATTACAGGTTTTATATGGGGAGAAATTAAACAAATGTGGGATGGTGGACTTCAAGATTACATCCATGATTGGTGGAATCTAATGGATTTTGTGATGAACTCCTTATATTTAGCAACAATCTCCTTGAAAATCGTTGCATTTGTAAAGGTAACTACTACTTATTTTGGGGGAAAAA